TGGCTCTTTTTGCTCTCACTGCAGCGGTGTAGAGATTATTACCCCATCCCCAAGAATGTATTTCAAGAATGTGATGGAAAAAAAAAATAATACAAAGAATATGTAACTTTTCTGGAAATAGGATATTTCATGAGGGAAATTTGAAGGATAAAGTAACTGAATTCCAGGCAAACAGGCATCAGTATTGTTAGGAAAAACAGCTCTCTGCAGGGCAAAAGAGAGTGGCATGCCAGGTTTAAAGAGGAATTTACAGCCACTGACTGCAAATTACCTTATAAAATTCCTGATACCTTCATGAAGTCATCAATTATGTGTTTAGTCTTGCTTGTCATTTATTGCACTTCCTAATTGTTCAGTAAACTTTTCTGGCTTAAATGCTGTATTTCAAACTGACATGAAGCTGGTTTATTGATGTAGATTGCCAGAGTGTGTGGTTTATGCGTGGGACAATGGGAGAACCAGCAGTAGAAGAGTCTCTTATCCACTGATAAAGGCAACACAGTGCTGGTGATCGGAATTCTGGTCAAGTTAGTGCAGTTGTATGGAATTATGAGTATGCAGGGAATAGTTATAAAAGACCCTTAAAATCAGGGTTGTTCTTAGTGTGGAGTGTGACAGTAAAGGCAGCACACAGGCTTTGAATCATTTGTCCTTTTTTAAACGGGTGGAGAAAGGACAGATAGAGAAAATATGTGAAAAACTGGGGAATTTACACTGAGTCCAAATGAGGTCTTCTGTTAAATCCTTTCCAAGGCACAACATGTTTGGCATGTTTGGATTGTTGGGGTTTGAGTTATTGGCATTTCAGCATTTACTTGGGCTTACGAGGAGCTGAAGCCAAGTTCCACCTAGTGCAGCCCCTGTCTTGGTTGTGACACCAAGTGAGTGGCTCTGTCAGTCCCCTAAGTGAAATTGGACATGGTGGGATTCACAACCCAGAACGCCCGAATCCCTTTTTCTTTGAAGCTATCCTCGGCTCTTTGGGTTTCATTCCTCGCTATTCTGTGGAGGCAGCGTGATTCCTATCATACCACTGTTGATTGCATAAAATATTCCCCGAATCCAACACGTTGCCTTAAAATCTGGTGTCTGGGCCCTGTCTGATTCTGAGCAGAGTAGCTCTTGGATTGCGTTTCCATCCTCAACCCAAGCCAAGTTCAGGGAGACTTGATTGGGGTATTGGTGAGGGGTAAGAGCCATGCAAATCTCTGCTGTGATTGATGGAGTGGTGCTCGGTGAAGACAAATATGTACAAATACTTGCCCAAAATAGTAGGGCCTCGATTCAGCTGTAACTGGCAGAGTTTTCAGCTTGACTTTCAAGAAACATTGTTTTTGATTGACCTTCATGTGAGTAAGCTGAAGAGCCAAGGCTGCTTTTCACAAGGAGAGTTTCAAGCAGTGGAGAATCTCCCCTTGTATGCAAAATTAGGAACTTTACTATATCATGAGCGATTAAACCCGACCTCCAGGGAGCCTAAAAGAATGTTGTGTGACTTCCTTGCCTAATGAACACAGAACAAATGTGAGAATGTGTACATTCCAGCAAATTGTGTGCTAATTGGCCTTAGAGAAATGCTAAATATGAGGAAGAAATGGGAATATAATTTCAAACATATTTGAGAGGTTTTGCAGCCTCCTTGCAAATAAGAGGGGAAAAAAAGAGTCAAAATTCAACAAAATCATTATTTGCTATGATTTATTCACTCAGCTCCAGTCCTGAACCTGGGAGTTATTGGCAGCTTCAGCTAAGATTCCTGCTGAGTATTTCTAGTTACAATGACTGTATGCAGCATGTAGCTCAACGCTGTTTTTTTGGCATCATATCATAAATATCTATTTTAATTCTTGTCTCTATATGTGTATCTAGGGTTTGGTGTTTTTTCCCTTTTTCTTGTGAAAATGACTCTAGATGCAGGACAATATCCTGCTCCCTTTACTTAAGAGAATACTCCACTCAAGTTCAACAGTAGGATTATTCTCCTTGGGTAGAAACCCCTCTGCCAGAAGGCCCGTACATCACTTAAGTACTGGCTTAAGCAGAGAATAAGTGTCCATCTGTGCAGGGTAGAATTTCAGCTGTTGTCAGGGAAGTTAGATTTGACCCATGGACTTAAGGAATTGCAGATTTACTCCCTATTCCTAAAATCCCATCTCTTCCACTCTCTGCTCTTTACCACTCAAGATTCAAGAGTGTATGTATCAGTTATTGCATTTTCTTTACGTTTTTGTTATGTCTTAGAAATCAAAGTGATTGAACATGTAATTTGTGCACTAGAGGTGAATTCCAGCTTTCCATGCTCTGTGCTGTGAGTATGAGAAGCTGCGCTTTGGGCTTTTCCTTTGTAACAAGAGCACCCCAGAACTTGTTACTAGAGTTGCAGTCTGATGCATTGAAGTGTTGCATTTTGGTCACAGTGGAGCTCCTTTTTTCAGTAATATCTTAAGAAGAGACAGAAGGTCAAATCTGCTCAAAATGAAATGGTGCGGTGCCATCAAATGGAAATGTTTCAGTCCTTTTCTTAATGATTTCTTCCAAGTCAGAATGTCCTGAAGAAGGGTTGTGATTTCAAACGATTAGCTTTTGCTACTGGGAAAACTGGAACCTGCATTATTTAAGTGGAAATGCCTGCTAATCCAGACTCAATGTGGGCGACATTCCTTAGGACTTTGGGGGAGTTGCTGAGTGGAGAAGCACTCCTCAGCAGTTGGTCTCATCCTGCTTTAGCTCTTATTTGAATAGATTCACTTTAAACTTCTGGAGTTGTTGTTTGATTTGCACTGTCCTTGATGTGTTGAATTGGAAGAGCAAAGTGCAGTACTTCATCTATGATCTTAACTTGCTCCTCCCAAGCAGGCACGTACGCAGGAGCATCCTTTTTGCATCCCTCTGAGTTCTTCAGGACATTTATGGGAGGTTGTACCGCGGAGTTTGTTTCCTAACTAACAATTTCCTCTTGGTTGTTGAGAGGCTTAATTGCTCTGAGGTCTCCTATTCTAAACTGTGTCGATGTTGCCAGTATTTTGTCGTGTAAGTGGAGCTGTTGTGGAGGGGAGGTATGTGTGCTTGGAGAGGGGCTGCTCAGCTGTCGGTCCTGTTGGTTTCTGGTGGGATGTTATGGATATACCAAACATCTCTGAAAATGCCACTTGTACATTCTTGGGTGTTTGTAAATTAGTATAAAACTGAAAAAAAACACCTCTTGGAAGCCTTGCAAACATGCAGCAGCTCCTTCATAGACTCACACACTGATTTGTGTTGGAAGGGACCTTAAAGCTCATTCAGTTCCAACCCCTGCCATGGGCAGGGACCCCTTCCACTAGAGCAGCTTGCTCCAAGCCCCTGTGTCCAACCTGGCCTTGAACACTGCCAGGGATGGGGCAGCCACAGCTTCTCTGGGCACCCTGTGCCAGTGCCTCAGCACCCTCCCAGGGAAGAGCTTCTGCCTAAGAGCTCATCTCAATCTCCCCTCTGGCAGGTTAAAACCATCCCCCCTTGTCCTATTAATTTTCTCTCACTGAAAAAAATTACTTTCATTAATTTTATCATGTATATTTTAAGTGTGAACAGTCATAAATAGCTCATCTTAAAAGGGTAATTTGCAAAAGCAGGAAGATTACAGTCCCAGGGAAAGTGGCTTGCATGATTGCTGTTTATATAGAGTTTATAGGAAAGCAAGATGTACCAGTTGTTACTTTTGAGATGGAAGAAGAGCATGATGTGTGTTGCTGGGTCTGTGAATGGATTTGGTGCAACTTGACTTGGTTCTTCTGGACTTCTAAGTGTCCCGTGGCCCGTGAATTCAGAGCATGCTGCTGCTAAGTCATTTCCACTCACTAAGTACTGGGAAAAATCCTTTTTGTTGCCATCAGGGGGAGCCTTTGAGACCTTTCAAGAGGGAAAAAAAAAATGTATTAGAAAAAAAAAGAAAGAAGGAAAAGAAAGAACCGTCCCAGCTCAGAACCAGAGATCTCCAAAGCAGCAAGCAGCAGAACCTTACCTGTGGCTCCAACTCAGCCAAGGAAACCCGAGGAGCTGAATTCCTTAGGCTGTGAAACATTAGCAATATTGAGAGAGGATTTTTTGACTCAAGCCACCAATAAATTTCATGATTTATTTTTTTATTATGGTTAAAAAAAAACCCAAAAAACAAAAACACAAACCCAACCTAAATCCAGGAGTCTCTGGAGCATTCAAAAGCCAAATCCTGCTCCGTGGCTCCAGCTTCTGGAAGGCAAAATGCTCTTCAAAAAAGCTTCACTCTCCTTTTAGCTCCTGATGGTTCGATGGGGACCTTTTTGATGCAACATTTGGATTAGCTGCACTGAGGGGGACCACAAAAGGGGGAGCCCGGCTGATTGCATAACTTTAGGAAAATCCTAAAAGAGCGAAAGAAAGATATAGGAAAAAAAAAAAGAGAAAGAGTGAAAAAAATAAAGGGGAGAAAGAAAGCAAGCGGGCAATTAAAAAAATATCTGAGACTCAAGTTTCAAGACTCTTTATGTGCTGCAGAGGAGCATAAGGTTTACCAGCAAAGTGCAACGGGGAGTCTGAGAGGAGAAATAGCTCTCTCTTTTGCCAAGAAAGAAAAAAATAGGAATGTGTGTTTTGGACTGGACTGAGCAAGAAAGCTGGGGAGCTGGTGGGAAGCGGGGTGCAGGATTCCTGTCACATTGATCCATTCATCTTGATTGTCTTCTTTAAAAGATAAATAAAGGGGTGGTGGGAGGGAAGTGATAGGGGAAACAAGAGGAAAAGAAAGGGGGGGAAAAAGCAAACAGCAAAAGTGTTTGAACCTCTGGAGCTATCTGCTCCTTCAAGCTGATTGATTAGTCATGATCCCTGCAGTTTTAATGGGAATCATTCAATTGGGAAGGTGGAGCACCCTAGAGTAGATTAGCATATTCTTGTTTACTCATCTTCTGAGGGGCTTTTTTCTCTTTTCTTTCATTTTGTGGAGAAGAAGGGGGGGGGGGGGGGGAGGCTGGGGGGAAGGGGGGGGCTGTGCCTTATGTTATAAAGGAGGCCAAAAAAATAAATAGATTAGAGCATCTTTTGGGGGGAGGGCAATCAGTGGGGCTGAGTCTTGGAGGAAGCTGGGGGGGTTGTGTTGGGGGTTGTTTTGGGTTGTGTGTGTGTGAGTGAGTGTGTGGGGTTGTGGGGGTTTTGGGGGTTTTTTTTGGTGTGTTTTGTATTTTTTTTTTTTTTAAGAAGGAAGGGAAAAAAATAAAGGGAAGAAAATCCAGCAGAGAAAAGAAGAGAGAGGAATTCCAGCTGTGGAGGAATAGAGGAGAAGAGAGATAGAGAAGGAAGAAGAGAGGAATACATTTCAAGCAAGAAGGAGTTTTGATTTATTATATTTGCATTTGTTTTGAGAGTAAAAAAAAAAAAGGAAAAAAAAAAGAAAAAATTCTATAAGCAGGAAAAAGAGAAAGAAAGAAAGAAGAAAAAAAAAAGAAAAAAAGAAAAGAAAAAGCAACTGAGAAGGGTTATAAAAAGAGCAAATACCAAGAAGGGTGAACAAGAGAAGAAAGTCAAGGCAAGGAGGAGCCCAAAGCTGGCAGATCGGGAGGATTTGCAGGGGAGAAGGGGGGGGAAGATTGGAAATGCAGCTCTGGAGTTTGCTGCTGCCTCTTGCGCTTCTCTGTACAGCCCTAGCGAGTGGACCCGAATGTGGGATGGACGAGCGCTCCCGCAGGGCGCGGAGGGACACCAGGCAGAGCCGCCCGCCCCACCACACTGCCCCGGGCACCTGTGCCACCAGGTTAGCCCGGGGCAGGCGCTCCCCGGCCGGGCTGGAGCCCGGGCATGGCCCCCGCAGGAGGCAACAGCGGGAGGTGAAGGACGCCGAGGAGTCCCTCACCCCGAGCAGGGCGCTCTATTTCAGTGGGCAAGGTGATCAGCTGCGGTTGAAAGCAGATATTGAGCTGCCCCGAGATGCCTTCACTTTGCAAGTGTGGCTGAAAGCCGAAGGAGGACAGAGATCTCCGGCTGTCATTGCAGGTAGGGAGTTGGTCGTGCCTGTGGCTGCAGCATCCCTTGTAGGTTTGGGGAACCGGAGCAGCCAGCTGTAGGCGTGCGTGTGTGTCTGTGTGTGTGTGCAGTGTGTGTGTTGTGTGCGTTTGGATGTGCCTCGGACACACACACACAGAGGGATGGGAATGCCTGTGCGGACACGCTCGGCTGCGTTGGGTATCTGTGTCTTCGGTGGAACACTGGAGCTCTGCAAAGTGTCTGGAAGTCTGTGCTGGCAGGAAAAGTTATGTAAACTTTTGCATAGGGAAATGGCAGTATCCTGGGTAGTTCCTTTACTCTGTGTGTATGGAATAAGACGCGGATGGGTGAGAGCGCTCTTACGGTGGGTTTTTACCTGATTTTCACGTTGGAAAACTAAAACAGAGCGTTTGAAAGCAGCTTGTGTGGTGTGTATGGAAAGAAACGTGTGTGTCTGGTGTGTGGCTGCAGAGAAATGAATATCTAAGGTCCCTATATGATTTCCTTAGTTTTATTAGCTTTTTAGTGTACTTCCCTGTTGCCCTTTCGGAGGCAATGTTAGCGTGTGGTTTCCAGAAAGCTGTAAAGGAACTTTTGGCTATTGTGAAACCTACACTGAATCAAATGAGTTTATAAAGTTCCCAAGCCCAGGACACTCAGTGAGGGCTGGGACCAGCACTGCAGCGAGAGGATGTGTGCGGTGTTTTTGTCTCTCCTTAGAAATGGCAAGTGTAACACAAATGATTGTAAGGTCAAATAGCCCTATAAAATCATTTAGTACTCAAAGCAGCTACCAGCCTGGGCTGGCTGAGCTGAGCAATCATGAGGAATATTGCACTTTTCTTATTTCAGTTTTATGAGCCCATCATGAAGTTGGGTCCTTTCCCCCCCTCCCGTCTCCTCTCCGCTTTAGTGATAAAGTGCAGCAAAGTTGTCCTGAAATCGGATACTTTTTGGGGGGTTACCAACCCTTATAAACGTCGCCACATCCATCTTTGCAGTGAAGGAAGTAATAGAAAATGGAAATGCCCTTAGAAGAAAAAAGTCAGAAAGAGAAAGGAACGGGGGGGTGGGGGGGGAGAAAGACATGTTTTACAGTTCTTTTGGCAAGGAGATTCCCTGAGAGTACAAAGTTTCCATGTCCTAGGATTCCTTAAAGAGACAGGGAGGATTTCCCCTTTCCCTTTAACTGGAGTCACTTCCTACCAGAAGCCAGTGGATGCTTGTGCTGTGGTACTGGCTGCCCTGTCTCTGTCCCATGCCACCCTCCTCCTGCCATCCCATCACCCCATCCCCATCCCATGCGACTGTCCTCTCACTGGAAAGTTGCTTTGTCCTAAGGAAAACACAAACTGAGATGAACTCGGCAGCGCTTTCCCTTCGCTTCCTCAATCCCAGCTGCCGGGCTTGCTGTGAGGAGGGGGACACAGGGTGTGTGGGGCTGCTGGGGTGGGCAGGGGGTGCCGGGCATGGGCTGGTCCCTTCAGTAGGACAGGCAGATGAGTGATTTCATAGGTGAAATAGCTTATCACTTGCTTTATTTCCCCTGGTTTTCTCATACTCCACTCTTCTGCTTCCCAATCTCAAGCCCCAGGGCTCCAAGGGCTTCCCTTTCAAGTTAGGAAAGGCAGAATTTGGGTTTACACGGATCTTATCTGTGGCGAGACATAGCCAGTGTAATTCTTAATGTGTTTAATCCAACACCTAACACCCCATGTCTGTCTTTGGTGCAAGTATCTCTTAATTCACACAATAGGGAGCCTAGACAAACACACACACACACACACACAAAGATCATTTGTAGTAAAATACTTTAATTGGATGGGGGAGGCTGGGTTGTTGCCTGTATAAAACACTTGACCCATTTTATGCATGGAAATAACATTCCACTGTGAAAAATGAAAAGAAATGCCCCAGTTTTGCACGGCGGAGCCTGCAGCTCAGCCCGGGAGGACTTTGGGATTCTATTTGATTTCCAAGCTGCCCCTGCCCCCCTCACAGGCACTCTTGAAGAGGAGCCAGGTTTGGCTCTGTGTGTAAACACCTGGAAGAGCTCCAAGAGGAACTCACTCGGAGTATCCTCCGCACACCACAGCCTCCCAGACCTGCAGCAAGCTTAGGGAGAGATTACGCTTCCCTCAATGAGGAAATCAAGGATTCTGGCTGCCAAAACTCTTGGCTTTCTCATTTTCACTGTTTTGGGATGTGACGGGCTCCGGAGCCTGGTTCTGCTGTTGAAGTTGCATCTGTAGGACCTCACTGGAAGCAAGAGCCCTTCTGGGTGTTTGGCAGGGGGTAGGGACTGGGTCAAATTTGCTGCCAGTGCCAGAAGTGAGTTTCTCCCCAGTTTCCATCCCTGTTGCAGAGTGGGGAACTATAACTGTGCAGCCCTGAGGGAGAGGGCAGAACTGACTTTAAGACACCCTTTTTTCAGAGTCCTCCTTGTATCTTCATCTGCTTTCTGCCCCCAACCTTCTGTCTGTGTCAGCTGCTCCCCTTCCACCCCCCTTTCTGGCACTGCAAGTTGTAGAGGAGCCCCACGTGCTATAGGGGAAAGCCTGTTGTGTCTGTTCAAAATTTCCTGTAGGACCCAAGTTGTTATCAGCTCCTACGCCTGAGCCCTGATATAACGGAGCTCTTCTGCTAATCCAGGCTACAGGAGTTTCTGTCTGGAGCCAACTCTCCTTACGTCACCCTCTGCTGCAGTATTCAATTTGTTTTCATAAATGGCTAATTTTACAGCACTGTTAAGTGGGTTCGTCATCGTGCCGGGCCATGCCCCGGCTCTGATGATAGGCAGCCCTCTGTGCCAGGCTCTGCCAATTTTCACGCCGGTTGGCAGTGATGTTATTGCTGCCCTGCTTGACTTCCCTGCTATCTGTTCTGGCATTTGTCAGGGAAAGCTGTTGGGAAACTGGAAGTCTGACCCATTGATCCGCGTTACGCAAAAGCTCGGCAGCATGTTCGTGTCCGCGCTGCGCTCCGCCGGTGCTGCTCTCCCTGCTCTGTGTGTATTCTCCTCCCTCCCTGGGCCACATAGTTCTTGGACAAACACTCCTTGGATGTGCGTACCTACCACCCAGCACAGTACATCCCTCTTGTAAACACACACATGTGCACATGGTATTAATCATGCGCGTTTGCGCGCTTTCCCCTCTGCAGAGCCTTTGAACGCGGCTGTGGTTGTGGAGGAAGGAGTTAAGGGCTGGACTGTGCTCCGTTAGGTAACACACACGCCGTGCAAAATAAGAGGCTTCAAAGCACCGTTGACCTTGCTTCTGTTGTAAGCAAAGAGATTTCAGTTCTACTGGGGAAATGCAACTCCATCCTAAGAAACAGGATCCTCCGAGTCCCTGTCAGTGTGTTTGCTGCTATACGGCTCAGGGGCGGGAGAGCTCATGTTTTCATAGGAATGAGATGTTGACTCTTTACTGGCTGGGAGCTGAGGAGCGGGATGAATGATCTGGAGTAAGAAGGCGTGTCTGCCCTGAAGAGTGAAAGCTGTTTATGTTTTGGTTGGGCTTTTTTTTTCCCCTTCTCATTTTCATTCTCCTCTGTCTCTCTATTCCTGTGCCTGCCAACAGAGATGATGATCCCAACTTAATAAAGCTTCATATGCAAGGGAGCGCCTGTGTTTTCCCAACTTCAGTCCTTGATGAACATAAAACTGCAGCAAAATTCAGAGGGAAAGAAAGGCTAAAATCAACACAGTGGAGCTCACTGAAAGTGTATCAGGGTCTGAGAAACATCTGTGCCAGGTCCCATAACTGGGCAGCTATGAAGATATGTAATTGAGACTGTGTAGGTCTGTTCCTTCCACAAGGTATAAGAATATATGTTTGCTTTGGGGAGTTAATTTGGTTCCCTTATGAAGTTTGAGAGTCTTGTATTGATTTAATACCCTTCAGGAGAATCAGTGAGCTGGGTCCTGTCCCCAGAGCTGATCCTTGTAGCAGGTCTGTTGGGAACTTGAGGTTGTTTTCTGTGGAGAGTTTACTCTGAGTTTCACTGGCATTAAAATAACAGGTAGATAGACAATGCAGCATTTCTCATCTCCAACAGCCTGGTGGTTTTTATAGCCTGAATTTCCTTGGTTTGATCTGTAGTGAAGTATTAGAATGAAGGACTAATAAGTAAGTCAATGTAAAGCTTGTAGTTCTGTCATGCAATTAGTGCTGGCATTAGCAGGGTGATGGGCATGATGGGTGCAGTGCATGGACCAAAGTGACAGGAACTTGAACACCTGCCCAGCTGTTCCTTCAGGGTGACAAGCCTCCAACACACCACGGCTGAAGGCTGCAGGTACCACTGTGGTTTTGGCTTCCCTGTAGATGGGGTCAAATGAGTGCCTACTTCAGGACTATAGATCTGAATGAGGCTGGACTAATAGGCCACGATAAAAACATGGCATAGCTTGTCATTCACTGAATATTTGCATTTGAAACAGCACATTTCCTTCAGGCTTCAGAAGCCAGGACAAGAGTCAGAAACTGGAAAAGAAAGAGAACTTTTTCTTTCCATAAGATAACCGATTTTAACCAGTCTCATTCTTCTGACACATAAGAGGCAGAACAGCACAGTTAGAAGAAAGCTGTGTTTGGTTTTGTTTTTCTTATAGCACTTACATGTAGACTGCTGTAATTATTAAGATGGTAATGAAAGAGGGAAATATGACTGTGTGCGTGAAGAATGGTACATTCAGATTCCTAAATGGTGTATGGTTGTCTTCTGTAGGCACAGAGATGTGTCCCAGGCTGAGCTCGCCTCTCCAAGCTTCATTTGGGCCTGATTTATTTCAAGTCAGCCTGTTTCAGTTAGAAAAACTCATGCGAGGCATAAAGCAAGCTGAGGGGATGGTGTTTGGAAAGTGAGCAGGAGCGGGGCTCTCCCTAGGGATTCATGGAGATGTCTGGAGAAGCACAAGCTGAACTGCAGTAGTGAGGGCAAGAAGAAGCCCTTGGAGAGCCTTTGCACGCTACACCATTGCAGAGAGACTGACTTGGTCGGTG